CCTATTGATGACATTTATCGAATTACGAGAAGTGAGATTCTTAAACCGATGAATAATAAGATCCTTGATTGAATAAGTTAACAATAATATGATTGTTCAATAATAAAAATTATTCACTAATTTTTAGGTTCATCTGCTTTTGTTGATCCAATTGATGAAATTCGAAATTTAGCCAATAAAATGAAACAATCTCTTCGACTTGTTTCATCAATTGATAAAAAACGTATTAATCGTTTTATTAAAAGTAAAAAAGATTGTTGGTTAATTATAACAGACATAATTTTATTCAATGATGATCTTTTACAAATTCGAGTAAAAATAAATTAAAAAATAAAATAAATTTTTTCAAACTAATCATTTTATCTTAGGATTTTATTTTATCATCAATTAATGATAAAATTTGGCATATTTGTAATGCTTCATATGCATCTAAAGTACTTGGTAAGTTTTGACATAAAACATTTTTTAGGAATTAATTTCGACTTATTTTATTGAAAGTATGGTTACCTCAACGATGTTTACAAGTTTATTTACGTGATTCAATTCAACCATCTCTTCATCCTCGTTTACAACAAAAAATTTTATCAAAAAAAAAATTACAAATTTATAAAAACAAATTGAACAAATTCTTAAAATTCATAGTTATCTTATCACAAAAAAGGTTTTTTTTTAAATGATTCAATGATGTAATTTCTATTTAAATATGTTTGTTTTTAAATGTTTTTTTCGCTTTTGTTTTTAATTAAATAGTTTTATTGAAAATGATATTTATATTGATTTAAAACATTATTTTGATACAAACCAAGTGAATATGATTAATTATAGAAATTATATTCAATATGAAAATGAACAAATATTGATTAATTATATAAAACCAGTAAATTATGTTTTACTTCTTATTTTTTATTTATTTTATTTTATATTTGGAGTATTGATTCATTAAATCTAGATGAACATATAGCTGATCCATTATAATTAATGAATAATGATCTATTCCCAATATTTGAAAGTTTATTTGGAAAAATAATTTTATCAAATGAAAAAAATTGTGCAACAAAAAAAAGGTGAACTACTTCTTGTTGTATCAATTGTTCGTAGTTATTTAACTCATTTTTGTTCAATTTATTCTTCTCAACATTATTGAACATGTTTATCTTTAATTAATTAATTAATTAATATTGAATATCATTTATTAAACTCTTTAGAAAAAGATTTATGTCATCGAATGAAATATTTATTAGAAGTTGTTGCTACTATCAATATTCCTTTGTCAAATAGAAATTCATTGATTTGTTCAATTTTATATGATTCGAGCTCTAATATTCAAAATTTTGTAGCAAAGTATGATTTAACTTTGAAAAATCTTAGTGAAATGAAATCAAATAATATTAATTTGAGATTTATTCGAAGACGAAAACAATTTGTTCAAATAATGCATCTTGAACAAGCTCGAAGGCAAGATTATAATCTTGTCTATCATGTGAGTTATTGTATTAAAATAAGATGAGTCTTCTATTTGAGATTTATATTTTACTTGAAATATGATAAAAACTAGAGACAACCAATGTTTTTACTCTATCAGGTGTTCATTTAACATCGAATACTAAGAAAAAAGATGTTATTATTTATCTTGATGAAACATCTCCAAATGATACAAATGTAATGTCCGCTATTTATTGAATACGAACGATAAAAATACTCCATGCTATCTTCCATTTGTTCATCATGATACAACAGATAAACCTGAGTTGATTCTTATTTATGTCCATTGATAAACCTAACCTTTAAAAGAAAATATCAAATTATGTTATTTCACGCCTTGATATATATACTTTTTTTGTATTTTTCATTTTGCTGATATTGAAATCAATGTGAATTGGAATCATTGAACATAATTGATCACATAATAGCAAAGAGGAAATGAGAATTGTTTAACCTAATTACTACGCATATGTTAAGAAATATTAATTTCTGTTTGGGAATTAGTTATTCGCTGTTGTTCACGATAAGCGTTGCTTTTTGCGAAATTATCAAGAAAAGTCATTGCTAAAAAAAACTATCTTATTCTAGTCATAAGGATATGCGTGTAAAATATAGCAATAAATATGTATTCCCCATTATATGGTTATAAGAGTCTAGGTGTAAGGATATAGTTATAAGTATGTAGTCCTAAGGATATAGTTATAAGGGTATAGGTGTAGAATATCTCTTGTAGAAAGACGTTTAATATTTGTTGATATTCGAGCTAGTTGTTCTATAGATGATAATAGATTAGAATCTGTTGATGATATGGATGGTTCGGGTTCTTTTTCATTGGATTATGTAGATTGAATTGTTTTCGAATTCATTTTCATTTGTTGATCTTTACTAGCAGATGTATCTTGTTTTGATGCTTGTTTATCTTTACCAGTTGTTTTATTTGTTGAACGAAATTGAATGGGTTTTGTTCCTTCATGTCGACTAATACTAATCAAATCACTAAGGTAAATTGTGTCTGGATTAAGTGTTTCATCATAACTTAATGGTGGTTGTGTTATTATTTTTAGTGGCTATAATGTATTTGTATTGGATATTATTTGTTCATCTTTCATAGTTGTATTATTATTATTAATTGATATTGATTCTTATCAATCTCCATATTTTCATCATAATTTTTTGATGCTTCACGATTTATTGATGTTTCCGTTGATTATGTACGAATAGATGATGATGATGGTGCTGGTGCTGGTGGTGGTATTGTTGTTGTTGTTGAATGACGATCCTAACTAGTAAATACAATACCAAATTTAGCTGATGTTCTTTGAGATTGTATTTCTGTTGATAGTTTATCAATTTTTGTTGGTAGATTTGTTGAGGGTTCCAACTAATGGTGATGTAAGAGCAGTTGAAGGTTTGATGTTGATGAAATTTCCGATTCAGTTTGAATTATTCTTGATGATGTTTGTTTTTCCATTGGAATTATTTCCGGTTTTTCATCATCAAATGTAAGTTTTAATCTATTTTCCTTGATCAGAACTGAAAGACTCTTAGACCGATTTTCTTTGATTCGCATCGGTTTTAATCCATTATTTGCTCACTATCAAATCAAATATAATTGAAATTACTCATAGCAATCAACGCAATTTCAATTTTTTCCGATTACTTTTCATTATAATTCAATAAAGATGTACAACTTTAATTGACTTTTGATTAAACAGTAATCGATCTTCATCTATTTTTTTCTCTAACTTTCTTTACATGGAGAAATACTAGATAAACTCTGAAATAGTAACCTATATTAACAGCCTTAACGAAAAACAATTAAAATCCATTGAAAAGAGAAAAGTCCTTCTGTTAAGAGAAAAGTGACGCATGCTGATAGTAAAAAGTCCATCTAAAGTCCGCAGAGTAAAAAGAAAGTTCCGTTGAAAAATAGAAAAGTCCTCTAACAAAAAGTAATGATAATTCATTGAAAATAGAAAAGTCCTTCTGTTAAAAGGAAAGTGACGCATGAAGATAGTAAAGTCCATCTAAAGTCGGCTGAGAAATAGAAAAGTTGGGTATGCTATCAGTGTGGGACAAATTTGGTGTTCTTTTGATTAACTAGTAAAGCTCTTCTATTCGCTAGCAGACCTTAGGTAAAGTGGACAATTTCGGGATCTTTGACAGCCCTCATAGTGACTCGTAGCATCCAGAATCATTACGGAAAATTGTTCAACAGTAACTCCAGAACCATTCTAGACAAAACAAAACAGTTCTCACATACTTCACATTAATCTTCTTTAGCAAAGCTCTCTGAAGGATGGACAATAGTCACTTTTACATTAATTATTTCTTGATGTATAGACAACTATTTATCAATCACATTTACAACGCAACTCGATAAAGAATGAACATTGAATTAAGAATAACAATCGTTTTTAATGAACAGATCCAATACTTTATTCATCAATTTAGAACAAGAAACCTTTCCAACGAAAGTGTAGAATAATCAATCCCTACACGTAGAATGATAAATTTTTTTATATGAAGGAGTAGAAGAATAAACCTCTATACGTAGCATGATAAACTCTTTTATATGAAGAAGTAGAAGAATAAACCTCTATACGTAGAGTAATAAACCTTTCTATTGGAAGTGTAGGATAATCAACCTCTATACGTAGAATGATAAACTCTTTTATATAAAGGAGTAGAAGAATAAACCTCTGTACGTAGAATGATAAACCCTTTTATGTGAAGGAGTAGAAGAATAAAGCCCTTTACGTAGACCAATAAATCTTTCTATTGGAAGTGTAAGATAATCAACCTCTATACGTAGAATGATAAACTCTTTTATATGAAGAAGTAGAAGAATAAACCTCTATACGTAGAATAATACATCCCTCTAAACGAAGAGGTGGAAGAATGAACTCCTAAACGTACAGTAATCAATCTTTTCAACGAAAGTGTAGAATAATCAACGTCTATATGTAGAATACTAAAACCCTTCTGACTGAAGAAGTAGAAGAATCAGGACCTACGCGTAGAGCAATAAACCTCTACAAATGAAAAAGACGTTGAATCAACTCTTAGACGACAAGAGGAAAACTATTATCGGTGAAAGAGTAACGAAGTTGACTTTTACCGATAAAATAATAGACTCTTGTCAAAGAAGAGGTGTAAATCATAACACTTCATGTACAAAAGTAAACATCTTTGATTAAAAAGTAGATAAATCAATCCCTGTACGCAGAATAAGAAACGTTTTGAAAGACAAGGCACAACAACCTGCCTATAGGCGTAGAATAATGAGGTGTTTATTGGAATGTTAGCGTATCTTTTCCAGAAAAGCGGAGTAACATACTCATTTAATCAAAAAGTTGTATAATAAATCTGGAATAGAACAATAAGACATTCTTATCTTGAATATGCGCAATAATCTACTGATACTGGTTGAAAACCATACTCTTATCTCAAAATCGTAACATAAGGAACCCTCATATAACCCTCATATACACCTTGAGCTTTCAAAACCTATAGTTTCATAAACGCATCGAGCAGTAAACCCTCAAATAGTTGATAAAACTGGCGTAAGCCGTTTAAAGGTTTATTGATAAATTTCTCAAGTGCAAGGACAGATTATTATGCGGATCTTTTTTCAGTAATAATGCGCCCATTTGTTCATAGTGGTTGAATGATCTACACTTAGATGTAGAAGAATAAATTCTGCTTTCCATAAATACAGAATGGTGTAGCCTTAGGCGTAGAATAATAAACCCTTTTTTTTATAATCGTAGAGTAATCTACCCTTAGACGAAGAATAATAAACCC